TCTATTCCCCTTCCCTCTACTAATGATTCCCTACTTTTCTTTCAGGGACCACCACCCTCTTCAGTCCACATAGTCTGGCTGAGTTGACCCCACACCCCAGCGCCAAAGTGCCCCTTTCCCTGCTAGTCACAGTGATTGGCTCGGGGACAAACGGGGACCCAAAGTGGGCCGGTCAGAGGGAATTTCAGGTCCATACTCGCACCGCCAGTAAAGAAGTCCTCTTCCGCTGGCATTGGCAGGGAGGCAGGATGTTAGCTCACGGCTGCTCTTGGCTATCTCTGACACCAGGCAGGGAGAGCCCATCTGAGATAAGGCCAGAGGAGGGCAGAGATGCAGAGAAACAGAGTCCTGATGACATTCGTTAATCCTCTGGATCCAGCCTCACCTGAAGCTGGCTTTCATTACAGAGGCAGTTGAGAATTCCCTTTTGCACTTATGCCAGTTGGAGTTGGACTGAACTCACCAGGATATAGAAGGTGATAAAAATGGGGCTGGAGGTGACGCGGATCTTGGCCCGAGCGAACGGAAGCTTCCAAAGCAGGAAGATGAAGAAAAGCACATTGGGGACGAGCAGCAAGACGTCCCAGTACCGGACCCTAGCAGACGGGCAGAGAAGCCAGCTGACTGGCAAGGCTCTGTCTGCACCCATCCCCCTCCGCAGCCCGTCATGCACACGCACACACCCCCGCACACACGGGGGAAACCCACTCACACACAGCCAGTCGGCCCAGCAGGGCCACGGCTGCCTCACCTGGAGGTGCCAATATCCTCATAGAGCAGCAGCAGACAGCGATGTGGCACGCTGATGTTGGGCGCCACGGGCGGGGGCGGGGTTGTGCTCCCGTTGGCCCGAAACACCTCCTCCAGGGCGTCCATCCCGCCAGCAGCTGGCCCTGCGGGAGCGAGAGCCCCAGCGTGAGCAGCGCAGGAGCTGCGTGGCCCGGGGTCTCTGGTCTCAGGTTCCCAGTGGAACCCAAGAGGGCCGCCTACGGTGGGCCTGCGGACAGCTCCCCCACCCAGCAGGGGGAGGGCAGGCTGTGGCTCCTGCGCGTGCCAGAGCACAACCCCCAGACAGGGGCCCGGTGACCCCAACAGTAAATGCCACCCCACTGATGGAGCCTTACCGTGAGCCTGGCACAGCAGCGCAAGCTACTCGGCACGACCTCAGTTCATCCCCCCAGTCCCGGGGGCCCCGGGGACAGACAGAGAACAGAGGGGCTAGGAGCCAGAGTTCTTGGCCCCTCTGTGCCTGCTTCGTCCTGCCCTTGCAACGCGGTAATGACCGACGGCATCCACCCCGGGAGGCTCAGTGGTGCCAGGCGCCTCCTACGACCCACACACATGCAGTCCCCAGAGTCCGCGAGCTGCACTTCCTCCCTGCACGCAGATGCAGAGCCGACTTCGAGGCAATCACACGGCCACCAGGTGCCAGAGTGGGGCATCAGGCACACCTCAGGTGGCCCACGGCCCTCATCTGCCTCTGCTGCCACCCTGGAAAGGCAGATGCAAATCTGGGGGGACGTGCACTGTGCCTGGAAGCTGCACAGGTGTCCAAGTGGAGAAGGGAGGGAAGGAGACGTCCTGCAGAGGGCGCTGTGTCTGCAGAGGTAGGAACGGGGGCTGCTGTAGAGTCGGCAGGTGGGCCCGCAGACAAGCGTCTCCCAATGACAGCTTGAGACCCCAGCCTGGAGGTGCCTGGGTGGCTTTGTCGGTTGAGGTCCGACTGCAGCTCAGGTCATAATTTCATGGTTCTTGAGTTTGAGCCCTGCATCGGGCTCGCTGCTGTCAGCGCAGAGCCCACTTTGGATCCTCTGGCTCCTTCTCTCTTTTCCCCTCCCCTGCTCGTGCTCTCTCTCTCTCTCTTTCTCCCTCAAAAATGAATAAATAGGTAAAAACAAACATTAAAAAAAAAGAAGAAGAAGAAAAGAAAAAGAGTCCAGCCGGTGGCCGGGAACCCTGGGAACTGCCCTGGACAAAGCAGGCTCCCAGGTGACTGGGCTCTCAGGGGCAGGAGCAGAGGGGCTGGGCCCACACTGTTGGCAGCAGGGATTTCCTCAGGGAGCTCAGGGGGCCCAGGGCATGTGAGCGAGGTGTGTGTGGCCCCGGCACCAGGACGTAACAGATGCCAGCATGAAAACGAATACTTGAACACACAGGGCCTGATGGCCTGGCGTCTCCACTTCTGGGTACATTTATAATAGCCCCAGGCTAGCAACAGCCCAAATGCCCACCATCAGCAGCGGGCACACGGACATGGCGGCGTCGGTATAAGCAGCAGAACAGAAAGAGAAACTACTGTTACCAGCAGTAACACGAAAGGGCCTCACAGATACGGTGCTGAGCAGAGCCAGCCACGAGAGTGGATATGCTGCTGCCTGACCCCGTGCAAAGATCTAGGCGAGGGTCACCTTTGTGGAGGACGGAGGGCGTAGTGGTGGGGGGAGGAACACCAGCTTCCGGCGCT